GTTACCTTATGGTGAAACTGTAGATGGCATAGAACTCAGCTTTGTAATTTGGCATGCTTTTGGTAAGTTGGCCAATTGACACGCTATGGCACAAAAGCTTAGATGGAAAGACCTGGGGGGGGGGGATTTAAGCAAAATGAAAGCAATTGGGTGAGGAGACCTTAAGGTAAAGGTAAAGGTAGTCCCCTGACATTAAGTCCAGTCATGTCTGACTCTGGGGTGTGGTGCTCATCTCCATTTCTAAGCCGAGGAGCCAGCGTTGTCCGTAGACACCTTCAAGGTCATGTGGCCGGCATGACTGCATGGAGCGCCATTACCTTCCCGCCGGAGCGGTATCTATTGATCTACTCACATTTGCATGTTTTCGAACTGTAGGTTGGCAGAAGCTAGGGCTGACAGCGGAAGCTCATGCCGCTCCCCGGAATCGAACCTGCGACCTTTCGATCAACAAGCTCAGCAGCTCAGTGCTTTAACCCACTGCGCCACCGGGTGGCCTCAAAAACAACCTTTAGAATTGCAAGAAGCTTATAGGCTACAATTTATTTTCCGATATAGTCTCCCGAGGGATACATGCCTTAGATACATCCTATTTGAATAACTGTAGCACACACTATTATGGGGCTTCCTTTGAAGAGTGTTCAGAAACTTCAGCTGGTCCAGACTGACAATTGGGGCTGGTTATACAATAAATACAAGTGAGAGTTCTGCAGCTTTAATCTTGGTGAATACAGAGGATCGACTATGGCATATGTAACTTTTCACCCTGTATTCCCATTTTGATATACACCTATACCATCCTAAAGGTTTAAAAATGGCTAATTCATCCACTGTCGCTTTCCAAAGTGCAGCAGTTTCACTGGCTGCCCATCCATTTCCAGTCAAAATTCAACGTAATGGATATCTATTTGTCTGTCTATCTATCTATATAATGAGTACCTTAAAAACAAAAGAACCAATGAACGAAATCACACCAAATTTGGCAACAAAACGTCTCACAACACAAGGAGTGACCATCACTCAAAAATTATGATTTTGTCATTGGGAAGTTGTTTTGTTGTTCATTCGTTCAGTCGTCTCCGACTCTTCGTGACCTCATGTAGCTGCTGGGATTTATAGTTCACCTGCAATCAAAGAGCATTCTGAACTCCATCAACGATGAAATTGAACCAAACTTGGCGCACAGAACTCCCATGACCAACAGAAAATACTGAAAAGGTTTGGTGGGCATTGGCCTTGAGTTTGGGAGTTGTAGTTAACCTACATCCAGAGAGCACTGTGGACTCAAACAATGATGGATCTGGACCAAACTTGGCACAAGCACTCAATACGCCCAAATATGAACACAGTTGGAGTTTGGAGGAAATAGACCTTGACATTTGGGAGTTGTAGCCACTGGGATTCACAGTTCACCTACAATCAACGAGCATTCTAAACCCCACGAATGACAGAAACGGGACAAACTTCCCACACAGAACCCCCATGACCAACAGAAAATACTTAATCAGGGCAAGAACTCCCTTCATCAGGGCAAGAAAATGTAATCAAAGTCCTCCTGACAAAGAGCTATCCAGCCATAGATATAGATAGATAGATAGATAGATAGATAGATAGATAGATAGATAGATAGATAGGGAATTGTAGTTGCTGGGATTTATAGTTCACCTACAATCAAATATCATGATAGAATTGAACCAACCGGGGCATACAGGACTCCCATGACCAACAGAAAACACTCAAGGCCATCCAGTCCAACTCCCTTTACCAGGGCAAAAAAAGTAATCAAAGCCCTCCTGACAAAGAGCCACCCAGCCATAGATATAAATAGATCTATATGATTCACACACACAGACATAGTATCATAGATTTGAAAGGGACCCCTAAAGAAGGACAATTTTATGTTGCATGTTCCAGAGTGGGTAAACCAGACAATCTCTACATCAACACTGACAAAGGAACAGCAAGAATTAATGTTTGCCCACAAGCATAAAGAAATTACATATATTACAAAACCAACACTTTCTCATTAATTCATTTTCCAGATCAACAGACTGGGCCACAGCAATGCGTGGCAGGGGACAGCTAATAGAATTATAAATTTGGAAGAGACCACAAGGGTCATTCAGTCCAACCCCTTGTTATGCAGTAATGCTCAAAGCAATCCCAACAGATGACCCTCCGGCCTCTGCTTAAAACCAGGAAAGGAGACCCCACTTTACACTGTACAGTTCAGGGCAAATTTATATTAAAGACCATATTCTGCCATACAAAACCTACCAATGCTTTAAGGTCTTCCGGAGAGGCTCTGCTTTCTGTCCTATCATTATTATAAACACGTTTGGTGAGAACATGAGGCAGGGCAATCTTAGGGGCTATTCCCAGGCTCCAAAACTCCTTTCCCAGAGGGGCTATGTTGGCACTCTCCCCACTATCTTTACATAAGCAGGCACAAGAGCTCAGGTTGATAGACTTTTTCCTGCAGGCCTCTGATAACTGATTTTTCAGGGGAAACATGGCTTACAATATTGTTTTGGGCACTTCAACTTTGTTGTTTTCACTTCTTTTAATTGGTTTAAAATTTTCTCTTATTTTCATCCCTGCATTAATTAGTCTTATTCTCCATGCTATAAACCCAGGCCTGCTCTAAATCAGAGCTTCTTAAAACTTTTACATTTGTGTTATTTTTCAGCCTCAGAAATGTCTATGTAATGTAGGAATGTAGGAATATAAAATAGGTGTAAAAATCAAACATTTACTGATACCAAATCAACATTTACAAGGCTTGCTTGAAGTCCCCAAAGGAAGGCCCATGAATCAGATGCAGCCCTCCAAGGTCATTTACTCAGCCCCCGCCCTAATGTTGGTTAAAATTGTTCTTCATTTTAAATATTATGTCATTCTTTCATGGATTTTTGGACTACAAATAAGATATATGCAGTGTGCATAGGAATTCGTTTATGTTTTTTACAAACTATAGTCCTCCCCCACAACAGTCTAAGGGACCATGAGCCGCCCTCTACTTTAAAAGTTTTAGGATCCCTGTTCTACTGAGTCAATTGTAAACACTGCACAACAGATTTGTGTAAATGTCTGAAATAGCTAGATGATGTTCAGAAAATTTTATTATTGCCAAATTTTTCAGGATCTCAGCATTGAGTGAAGGGATCCCCATTTGGAGTCAAGACCCACAATGTACGAAGCAATGTTCTAAATCAATATTGGGGTTATGAAAAATTGGCAATAGTCAGCCAGTCAGACAGGCATTAATGTTGTGAGAATATGTACAATGATTTCTAACCTATTTCAAGTTGGATACCAGTTGTACGAGAGCCCTTCCACATTGCCCTTTATCCCAAAACCTGTTCCCAGATTATCCACTTTAAAGTGGAATATATGAGTCTCATCCCCATTGCCAGATAACCTGGGATAAACAGACAATCTGGGATCAGATCCTGGGATATAGCAGAAGTGTGGAAGGGCTCTGAGATTGAACTCTAATTGGACAATGAGATTGGATAATGATTTTAGTAATGAGACGCTGAGGATTTATGTTTTTATTGTTTTTTACTGTTTCATTTGATGTTATTTTTGCTAAATGTTTTAATTGTTTTTATGTTGTTGGAGGCATCGAACTGTGCCATTTCTAAACCGCCCTGAGTCGCCCTCGGGTTGAGAAAGACAGTATATAAATATGATAAATAAATAAATAAATAAACAATCTGTCCCCATCCCCACAAGCTTTGCTCCAAGCACAGGGTAGAGAAATGACCCTGATAATTATACTTTCATATACATAACTAGAAGATATTAAGATCTTTTTTTCTTCCTAGAGGAAAGACTCTGGGTTCCATTTGCAGAATTATCCAGAAAACTGCTGTGCTAAAGAAATACTGAATTCTTCTGTAGTGTTATTTGAAGTTTCCAAAGTATTTCTAAACTGCATGAGAGCTTTGATGTACTGCAGAGACTGCAGGGAAAATTCTCACGATGTAGGCATGTTTTGGGCACTTCAGCTGACATCCTTTTAACAGCCCCAGTATTTAATTACCAGTTCCCTTTGTTATTCTTCATTGATTTTCCAGGTCTCTGTATATTTTGGGCCAAAATCATACTGACAAATTGTTTTAAAATAGAATAATCTCACAATGCCGAAAACAAGTATGGTAATAGCAGCTAACATGAATCCATCTAATTTTGTGACAACCTTGTCACAATTAAAAATATTAATTGTATTATCAGACAAAAATAAAACTAACAAACTACTTCTTTTTAATACAGAGCAATAATCAGAAAATAATCAAATTGATAGTGTGCAAAATCTGAATGCAGAGGTGAAGTTGCCAGTCCTAAATACTGCATTTTTGTGACATTTCTGCAAATATTTTAAATTCACACACAAAAATCACCATCAACAGAAAACCTTTATGATAACATATCATTCTGCAAACTTCTATAAATGTAAGGTTACTCTGTATACTTCCTTGCATTTTCCTCCAAAAACATTTCCCTCAAACTTCATTTCAATCTCATTTTAACTATAGCTGTTACAGTAACTACAATGAACACAACACAGCCTATATGAAGTACTTCCAAGTAATATATGTAAGTAACTCTTTCCCATGGAATCAGTGAGACTAAAAGTGGTTTCAGTTTGCTTAGCAATGCTACTCTTTGTAGATGACATATTAAATGAAAGAAAGGGGAATTAATGTTCTGAAGAAGAGCTGTATGTTTGTGGTTTTTATATAGATGACAAATATATGGAGTGTGTAAAATTAGCTTTACATTTTCAATTCTGTATAACCAAAACAGCCAATAAGAACCAGAAAAAGACTACCTACAGTGCTTTATCTTTAAAAAAAAGGTTTGTTTTTCTTCCTAGAGCTAATATCTACTAATTGAGACAAATGCCAGTCTTCAAATCTCTATGAATACAATGTTATGTTAGGTGGAAAAGTGACGGATAATAGTTGAGAGAGTCTATTTTTTAAATTACAGCTTACCTGGTTTGCTTTCATTAGGTTTACATTGCACTTCCTCAACACATTCTGCAGGAAACCATCCAATATGCCCTCGAGTGCTGCCTTCCCAGAATCCACCTTCGCCAATGCTCAAAACTAGGCAAAAATTAAGAAAATGTCATTAAGTTTTTATTTTATTTTTATACATTCCTGGACAGGCTTGAATAGAAACCCACAAACCCTAACATAGAAATTTTACAAATTATCTATGTGAAACTATGGAAATTATGGCTTCCATTGTATTCAATGGAATATGTGCGTAACAGGGTGAGAGGAGCAGCTGTATAAAATTCAGAGGGGACAAAGAGCTTCCAAAGTATGCATGACTAAAATTGTGCCCCATGAGTACTGAATTTGTGATAACTGGATTGCATGATTTATTACTTGCAGATTTAATACTACTAAAGGAGAATGCAGTACTTAATGGTTAATACCAGAGACTTGGAATCTGGGTCAGTTTGTGAGACTTAATAGCCTCAGCCGATGAAGGATATTCACATAACTCACAGTAAGTACACACAGCTGGAGTATGATTTCCAACACGCTGCTTTTTATTGCAAAAGAAAATGACAGTGGGTAGTTCATGTCATCTTAAAAATAGTAAAACTCACGTATACATAGGTGTTAAGTTTGAAATTGATCCTATGACTTAGCAAGTAGTATGAAACTGAGAACTGTTAAAAAAAGGTGCAAGAGTAAAAACTGTTGTTGCCAAGGCATTTTAGAGTAAAGGAATTAATACAGGTTGAATAACCTTATTCTGAGAACAGAAGTGTTCTGGATTTTGGATTTTTTAAAATTTTTAAATATCTGTATTTGCATATACATTCAAAATGTATCACCCAAGTCTAAACCCAAAATTTATTTATGTTTCATATATACCTTATACACATAGTTTAAAGGCAAATTTTAAAAATATTTTTAAATATTTTAAATATTTTTAAATAAGTGTGAGCATGAAAGAAAGTTTGTGTACACTGAATCATCAGAAAGCAAAGGTGTCACTATCTCAACAATCCACTTGGAAAGTTTTGGACTATTTTGGATTTCAAACTCCAGATAAGGGATACTCAACCAGTATAACCTTTAAATGTTAGGGAAGGTTATAACACAGTTTTCCTCCTGCCAATTGCAGTATGAAAGTTTCTCTAAGTCAGGCAAATAGCAGCTTTGGAGTTTGCCTTTGAAAGGATGTGAACCTTAAACAGCAGATGTTGGTTCTCGTGAAATGACAGTGAGTGAAATCATTGAAGTTTATAATTAATTTTATATTGCCACAAAATAGTACTTGGGCTACTTTTTCATCAATGACAATGTAACTTTGGTATTGTTGGATGACATACATGACCATAGGAGATGATTCAAGCACCAAAAAACTCACGGCAACCTTTGTTTAGGAGTGAGGCCCTTGAGGGGAAAGGCTAAGTTCCCTGCTCCTTCACTATAGTGCTGATTGCTATCTCTTGCCCATTTAAACATACATCTTTTACTCACTCAAAACTAAAAGATGAGAGATTCCATAACTGTGGATCTCTATTGTCTAGTTAAGCCTTTAGTTAGAGAGAGCCTTATGTCTATCTGAAATCTTCAACACAGAGAGAACTACTGAGGGTTGGCAGGTGAAAAGATTTCTATTGAACCAAAATAGGCTAATGTGGAAAGAAACTGGCATATCAGAAAGATCAATACATCATCTGCTAGGAATCTGGCTAAATTTTCCCTTTTCTGGAAGAAACTGGACATAAGATAGGGATTTCTCTGTAGCAGTGAAACCCACTTTTCTCCTCAAAAGTTCTAGATGTTACCACCTAGAACTGAAAATGATTTAATTGGCATTATTCCAAAGATGGTATTTGATTTAGAATAGGATGAGTAAAATTCAGAAGGATTTGGATTCCATATGTTAAAAAAGTTGCTGTTGCTGAACTCCCTTCTATTAGTAAAACTCCATGTCCTTACTAAATGCACTTGATAGCACTGATGCAAACCAAGAATGGGAAACTTGGAAGTCCCTGAACAGACTCTGAAGTGGAATGGACAGATCAAAAGACAACCTGGCAAAATGGCACTACCTAGAAGTATCGTCCACTTTGCGCGACTGTGGAGCAAAACAAACAACTCCGCATCTGTGTGTTTGCCCACAATGCCCTGCCTCATGCACAGAGGAAGAACTGTTTCAAGCTACAGACAATGCATTCGTGATTGCCTGTTTTTGGTCAAAACAGGCAATCGCGAATGCATCCACTTGTGCTCCTTCTATTTTTATCAGTTTTATACTAATGTATGCAATGCTTTTGATACAAATATAAAATAAATACATGGCATTGGATATAACCACAGGGCTGAGATTTTGAACAAACACTATAAAATAAAGTTACAGGTGCACTCTCTGTTTTGTGGTTGCTCCTTACAAAGTTGTATGGAAGCCATCCAAGTACATCATCCTGTTCTTTACAATGGCTTGACAATAAGAAAGCCCCAAACAACTTGGAGCAGCTGCATGAGAAACGAATATTACATCAAGAGTGGATTCACAACTCTCATATTAACAATGCCAGAAATACATTAATGAAATGTTCTACTTCTGTTATACATCAGGGTAACCACAATGCCCACCAATATCATCATCATCATCATCACCACCACCATTTCTTCACAGTGGCCTCAAACACCTTCTAAAGACTGTGGGGACTGATTTCACAGGGATGGGAACAGGGCTGTTTTAGGTCCAAGACTGGACTTCTTTCCAAACAAGAGGAAACCTGGAAGCCCACAGGGAAATAAGATGAAATTGTATCTACATCTCTTAGAAAACATTTGGGAGCACATATCTTTTTCACATTAAAAAATGTATCCTCAGGGCCATGCATGTAAGCCATAGATATCATTTTCCCCAGCCTATTTTATAGGAATGTATCTTGACACACGTGATTTCTAAAGCTAAGCAGGTATAGGTCTGGTTAGAAACTGGATGTAAAATCATCACAGCATATCAATAATCTTCAAGTAGGAATGGTAAAAGAATCTTTTGGAGAATTTAAAGATGCACTGTCAGACAGAACTGGCTGTACCAGACTAGACTGTCCAGAACGTTAACACATCACAAGGCAACTTGCTATATTCTGATGTACAAGGTAAAGACTGAACAGGCAAAAACTGAAGGATCTGAAGGAAGTAGGAAAACTGCCACCATGCAGGGTTCTGAGAAGCTGCTCCAAGTATGCAGCAATGAAGAAAGGGTGAAGTAGTTTTGAAAAGGCAAGAAAGCATTTGACTGCTTGACAGTCAGGACAGGAAGCAATTATGCTTACCAGGATAAAAGAACAGTGATAGGAGAATGGCAACATGGCTGCAGAGGCTAGAAATCCTCTGCTGGATCTGAGAAAAGACAGGAAGCCAGTCTGATGTCTCAGATAATCAGAGCAAAATCAGATGTTCATGATTTTGGCAGCAGAGTGCATCATACCCTTGAATATCTCTAATAAATCAATCCAAAGGCATAAGTACCAGATATATCCAATAAAAAAAGGAACTGAGGGTCTTTATGATTTTTGAACAGTATATAGATGGCCAGGTTCCAGAATGAGTTCCTGCACCAGTAGAGGGTTGGAGCAGATGGTCCTTTAGTGAGGTTGCCAGGTTTTCAAAGCAGTCAGATGCTAGCTCAAATCCAGCTGGATCACATGAATCAGGTCTATATAAAATGTCTCAATCCCAAGAAACCCTCCTCTTGACAGAGTCCTGAGCTTCTGTAAAATCTTAAATCTCATGAGAATCTCCAAACCCATGCAAATCTGATGGTAGGCCCATCACTGAGAGACAACAATATCTCTTTGCTGACCAGCCCAGCTACCTGGGGAGGAAATGAGGAAGGATAGAATCTAGCCAGATGCAACCCCAGCAAAAAGAACCCCAAGGTTTTGTATGCAACAGGTCCCTTTGTTGCATGTCAAATACTTGGGGAGCAGTCTGGTGTGAACATGGGTGGAGCCCACTCTCAAATACGAGTGTGTGGGTCTCTTGCACTTCTACGACTTTATGATCTACAAGTCTTCTTGTTCAGGAAAAACAACTTCCTTAAAGTAAAGTAAGGAAGTAATTTCCTTAAAGAACTCAAAGATGATGGATCTGGAAAAGAACCACCTCCTTCCCTCTGTATCTCCTTCCTCCACTTGGGATAATGAGATTGCCTGCAACGGCATGGGAAATGCAGCAGGGAGGTACAGCTGGGGAGGAGAATGTGAAGAAATCAGCTCTCCCTTTGGATCTATACAATCAGCAAAGTGCCATGGTTTTGTGAATTCCAAATTCAAGGGGGGGGGGAGCTTTTACTGAAACACTAAAAAGGGAATGGGAAGAACATCTTTTCTAAGCTTTGATCATACTTTTCCTGCATGGCAGGGGGTTGGACTACATGGCCCATGTGGTCTCTTCCAACTTTATGATTCTATGTTTTTTATAATCCCTGTCATGGTATGTAGAGGAGGAAAGATGGCCTATGGCAGCAGGCTTACAGCAGTAACACTACTGCATGCTGACTATTTGCTTCCTTGGGAGGCTGTTAAAGGAAATATTGTCAAGGCATTTTAACTGGAAAAGATATTTTTGGAGAGCACTGTTACTTTTTGTGTATTTGCTATCCTAAGAATGTTTTTCAACCAACAACTAAGCTGAAACAGGATACTTTCCAGCTTGCTGTGGACCATTCAATTATGTGAAAACCATAGTGACTTGAATGTAAAACTCTGCTATACAATTCTCTCCCCTCTGTGTCAAAAACCTCTGAATGATCACTTCTTGGCATTTTAGCTAAGATCAAGTCAGTAGAACTCTGAATGTAGTTCTTAACAGGCACATATTTCTCTGCCATACGGCTTGCAAGCCATTATAAATTCAGAAATTTCCTAGCTTTGGCTAGAACCTATTAGTTCAATCTGGTTTTTTCACAAGCAGATTTAATCAAGTGTCTTTTCTATTAATGTAGGCCTCTCTGTCTGCTGCTGTGATTACCAGAGATTAAGTTTAGCTGACTATCCTGCAAGCCCATACAATGTGTTGCTCTTTATGCAGTCTTGTTTCATCATTCGATCTCAGCTTTCTCCTTAGCACTTTTTAATAGTAATAATAATGATGATGAATTTATTACCCACCTCTCCCTGCGATTTGAGGTGGGATATATCATCATTAAAACAAGAGAAAACATTATTAAAAGACATACAACAAAATAGGTAAAGGTAAAGATTTCCCCTGACATTAAGTCTAGTTGTGTCCAACTCTGGGGGGTAGTGCTCATCTCCATTTCTAAGCCGAAGAGCCGGCCTTATCCATAGATGCCTCCAAGGTCACGTGGCCAGAATGATTGCATGAAGCAGTACCAATTGATCTGCTCACATTTGAATGTTTTCGGACTGCTAGGTTGGCAGAAGCTGGGGCTAACAGTGGGAGCTCACCTCGTTCCCAGGATTCAAACCACCAACCTTTTGGTCAGCAGGTTCAGCAGCTCAGTAGTTTAACCCGCTGCACCACCAGGGAGCCCATTACAACAAGATACACAGAGGTAAAATACAACTTAAGATTCACAGATAAAATGCAAATTAAAATTCATAACTTAAAAATTGATCAGGTAGGCCTGCCAGAAGAGATGGGTTTTTGATTGTGTCTTTAATTCCAACAGCTGATCTAGTTGTTGAATCTCTTCCAGTAGGTCCTTCCACAGTCTTGGGGGTGGCCGATGAAAAGGTCCTCAGGGTGACGGTTGCCAGTCGGGTTCTGGCTGATTGGAGTAGATGCCCCCTGGAGGACCTCAGTGTTCAGGGCAGATTGTAGGGGAGAAGATCCTGTGGGTTACCTGGACCCAAACCATGTAAGGCTTTAATGGTCAAAACCAACACTTTGTACTTTAAGGGCAAAATGTATGGGTGCATAAATGTACAGTGAGGGGGAAAAGTATTTAGTCAGATACCAATTGTACAAGTTCTCCCACTTAAAAAGATGAGAGAGGCCTGTAATTGATATTATAGGTAGACCTCAACTATGAGAGACATGAGAAAACACATCCAGAAAATCACTTTGTCTGATTTTTAACAAATTTATTTGCAAATTATGGTAGAAAATAAGTATTTGGTCCATAACAAAAGTTCATCTCAAGACTTATATATCCTTTATTGGCAATGACAGAGGTCAAACGTTTTCTCTAAGTCCTCACAAGGTTGGCACACGCTGTTGCTGGTATGTTGTCCCATTCCTCCATGCAGATCTCCTCAAGAGCAGTGATGTTTTGGGGCTGTCACTGAGCAACACAGACTTTCAACTCCCTCCAAAGGTTTTCTATAGTGTTGAGATCTTGAGACTGGCTAGACTACTCCAGGACCTTGAAATGCTTCTTACGAAGCCACTCCTTTGTTGCCCTGGTGGTGTGCTTGGGGTCATTGTCATGCTGAAAGACCCAGCCACGTTTCATCTTCAGTGCCCTTGCTGATGGAAGGAGGTTTGCACTCAAAATCTCACAATACATGGCCCCATTCATTTTTCATGTATAGGGATCAGTTGCCCTGGTCCCTTTGCAGAGAACGAGCCCTAAAGCATGATGTTGCCACCCCCATGCTTCACAGTAGGTATGGTGTTCTTTGGATGCAACTCAGCATTCTTTCTCCTCCAAACACGACGAGTTGTGTTTCTGCCAAACAGTTCTACTTTGGTTTCATCTGACCATATGACATTCTCCCAATACTCTTCTGGATCATCCAAATGCTCTCTAGCAAACTTCAGTCAGCCTCGGACATGTACTGGCTTAAGCAGGGGGACATGTCTGGCACTGCAGGAACTGAGTCCCTGATGGCGTAGTGCATTACTGATGGTAGTAGCCTTTGTTACGTTGGTCCCAGCTCTCTGCACGTCATTCCCTAGGTTCCCCCGTGTGGTTCTTGGATTTTTGCTCACCGTTCTTGTGATCACTTTGACCCTATGGGGTGAGATCTTGTGTGGAGCCACAGATCGAGGGAGATTATCAGTAGCCTTGTATCTCTTCCATTTTCTAATTATTGCTCCCACAGTTGATTTCTTCACAACAAGCTGCTTGCTTATTGCAGATTCAGTCTTCCCAGTCTGGTGCAGGGTGACAATTTTGTTTCTGATGTCCTTCAACAGCACTTTGGCCTTCACTATAGTGGAGTTTGGAGTGTGACTGTTTGAGGTTGTGAACAGGTGTCTTTTATACTGAGAACAAGTTCAAATAGGTGCCATTACTACAAGTAATGAGTGGAGGACAGAGGAGCCTCTTCAAGACATTACAGGTCTGTGAGACCCAGAAATCTTGCTTTTTTAGGTGACCAAATATTTATTTTCCATCATAATTTGCAAAAAAATCATTAAAAATCAGACAATGTTATTTTCTGGATGTGTTTTCTCTCATAGTTGAGGTCTACCTATGATGTCAATTACAGGCCTCTCTCATCTTTTTAAGTGGAAGAACTTGTACAATTGGTATCTGACTAAATACTTTTTGCCACACTGTATGTTGTAAAGCAATGTCTCTGTGCAGTCAAGTTCACAAAAGTTATTAAAGTACACACATTCCAGAAGAGCCCAAAGGACAAGAAGCCTCGTGCTTTTTATTTCATGTCAGGAGTGACTTGAGAAACTGTACATCAATTCTGATGTGAGAGAATTGGCTGTCTGCAAGGACATTGCCCAGGGGATGCCCAGCTGTTTTGATGTTTTACCATTGCATGTGAAGGCGATCTGGCTGCGACATCTGTCACCCCATTGATCGCCAGCGTTGATTCGGCTGATCTGGCTGGCTAGGCGGGTGTCCCCTTCCTCCCTCACCGCTCCATCGCATGTATCTCTCTAAAGTGAGCCTATCATAGAGTTGGGGGACAGGGGCAAGATTTCTTAAAAGGGAGCTTTTCCCTTTGCCTTCCTCTAAAGCTAAGAAAGTGTGACTTTCCCAATTTCAGCCAGTGGATTTCAATGGCTGAGTGGGATTTGAGCCTTGTCTCCAGAGTCGGAGCCCAGCACTCAAACCACTACACCACCAACGGCTCTATGTATTTACTGTTCCCTAATTATCATTTAATTGAAGGCAAGATTCACAGTAATAATTGTAAGCCCAATAGCCTGTTCTGTGCACCACAAATTAATAATTTGTATTATGTTCTTATTTTGGTAAGATCCATTTCAAATTCATCTAAAGGATTCAAATGTATTTTGTTCAAAATTAACTTGAGCAGATTTAAACTTTAACCTGACTGATTCAGAAACTGAACTGAAACAAGAAATATGTGAGTTTGCTTCATTGCTTCAACTTTAAAGAGAGAAAACAAAAAACCCATTCATTTAGGAACTTTTATTTTAAAAAAGGACTTACCTTTTACCCTGTCCCCTTTATGCAAATGAATTTCCCCTTCTCCTTGAGGTTGATATGGCTTCGCGACAATAAACAGTCTTCCAGGTACAGCACTGTACAGTTTGCGTTTGGTACCCTGATATTCCAAGGCAGATATAGCATCCTTGTTGGCACTGGGGTTATAGCTGGCACTGGAAGGAAAGCAAAATGAAATCAAATTATTTTGCTTTGAATAATAAGGGCATATCAACCAGATTACTACAATTTCAAAAAGCAACACTTGCCATCAAATAAATTTCTAAAAGGAAAAAAAAGTAAGTTTATTATATTATTTTTTCACTGCAAACACAAGAAGGGAAAAACTGACTCCAGATTTCTAAATCACTGGTTAAATAAAATAACCCATGCACTGAGATAATGATTCAGGTGCTTGTAGCACTTAATAGTTATGCCTACATTAGAAATACAATTGCAGACAAAAATGCAAAACAGCAAAGTTGAAGAGCCATCTTAAATAGTAACAAATTAACAAACATATTTGATGCTTTCACCTGCCAGAAATTGGAACAGACAGATATATCATTTTTTCTTTCTGACTTTATCCTCCACTTTATTTGGGGAGGTTCAGGAGAGGTGTCATGGGGCAACGTTAATTTATATTTAGACTTGTAATGGTTACTATGTTAAAAAAGTACATATGCAATAATTTTCATATTAAAATGTGGAATATTGAAACATCACCTGACATGCCGGTGTTGCTGCCGTTTTGCATCCTCTCCTAACCTATTTAATGATGGTGAGCGGCTCCGAGAAGATGAAGTATAGCTCCCAACAGTTCTCACAGTTCCATTGGGATTATTCTGCATCTGCTGCAGTAGGTGAGGTGAAAGGCTACGGTGTGAAGAAGCTAAAGAGGAGGCTGACCAGGCAGGAACGTTGACGTTCAGATTGTTATCGCTGTTGGATCGAAGCAAGACACGAGGTGTTGCCAAAGTGCTTTGTGGCCTCCGTCTTCTATTTGAGTAGGTAGGGGCCTCTCTAAATGGCACTAAATGGAAAGGGAAACAGAACACAAAATGTTGTCAAAGGCTTTCATGGCCAGAATCATTGGGTTACTGTGAGTTTTCCAGGCTGTATAGCCATGTTCCAGAAGCATTATCTCCTGACGTTTTGCCCACATCTATGGCAGGCATTCTCAGAGGTTGAGGGGTTTGTTGGAAACTAGGCAAGTGAGGTTTATATATCTGTGGAATGTCCAGGGTGCAAGGCTATTAAATGCTAATCAAGGTGGCCAACTGCAACATTCATATGTGCCTCAAGCAAACAAGAGTTCTTTCTCCCACCCTGGACATTATTCCACAAATACACACACACACACACACACACACACATATATATACCCCATTTTCCTAGTTTCCAATGGACCTCACAAGCTCTGAGGATGTCTGCCATAGATGTGGGTGAAATGTCAGGAGAGAATGCTTCTGGAACATGATCATACAGGCCAGAAAACTCACAGCAACCCAGAACACAAAATGATTATCAACAAATGCATCTGGTTTTCTTTGAACATATCAGATCACTCACCTACACACACAAAAAACCCCAACAAAACAAAACCATGATACGGTGCATTTCCATAATAAGTGGGGAAAAAACAAGTAAGCTTTGGCTGATTGTCTAATCAATATGAGCACTCAAATTATATTTAAACTGCAATTAAAATTAAAGGTAATTTTTCCAGAAAATCACTGAATTAATAAGCTGTAAAGCTCTGCATTACTGAAAACTCCAGTGACATTATATTTCACTATAAAATCTAGAACTAGAATGTGACATTAATTAATGAATTGTGATAATTTCTAACTCCTAAACCATAAACAGTTGTTGGTATTCACCAATTGCATAAAAACATGTTCCATGAATTTTTTTTAATGTAGCAAGAGCAGGGAAAGTGGTCATACAGGTCAAAGGGTCTTTTTTTACTTATTCCCTTTTTATCTTTCTATGGTCGGTTTATGGAGTATATTCCCCCAAACATTTGGAAAATTCAAAAAAAAATGTTTCTTCCAAGATAAAGACTCTTATAATACTGGATACTGTGGAAGTTAGAACATACAGACATTATTGTTTTTGATTTTACCTCAAACAATGCAGAATGTGTCCATGTGAACTTCACTGAACACCAAGGGAAATTCAAGTATTCTGTATATTGAGTACACTAACACTGCAAATGAGTTTAAAATCTACTGGTAATTTTGATCCAAAATTGAACCATTTATTTCCTTTTAAGCTAAAATTCTGGAATGTAAGTGGAAACCAAAATCTTGTCATTAAATTCAAAGATAAGCAGTTGGTTGAACATACCATATCTAGGATAATAATTTCAGTACCTGAACAAGTATAAATATGTGAAATTAAATCTGGGTAATACCATATTAAACAACACAATTTAATTACATTAAGTGTAGAACATTCATTCTTGTCTATATATTATTGTGAAAAACTCTCTAAACTGTTGTATCTAAAGTTATTCATAGGTTAGAATTCAAAGGTTTAGTACTATGGCCTTGTTTGAACATAATATTAAAATATTATTGTGTTGAGATCAGAAGCTTTCACCTTTATTTCCTGTTACTAACCACTTTGCTGAACACAGAAAAAGAAGATTGTCTACCCTCCTACCCTTCAACATCAGAAGAGAACTTCCTGTTTTCACAAAGGCTCTTCATATGATCACAGTCCCCAGAAAACCAAGGATCTTGATTGTATGAAAAGCCTAAGGGAATAGGAAGCTCTCATTTTCAGACACATCTGCTTCTATGTGAATAAAGAGATGATAGAAAGGATTGGAACGAGATGTTTGCCCCCTCTTGTATTCAGACAAGTGTGGTGAGTACCACCTGAATAGGGCTTATTATTAATTTACTGAAGTTTATCTGTGTCAGAATCCCCACAAGCTGTGGTTAGCTTTATATGGCACAATGGAATATAGTTTATTAAAACTGTAGTTTGTGAAGTCGGCTAATTTTTTTTAAAGCATTGTTATGAATAACCTTGTTTGAAAGTTCAGACACAATGATAAACTGCATTTAACTAAAACAGAGGTGAACGCTTTCATACCCTTTCAAACATACATAAACATTACATGGGCAAAACATGTATTTTACTGTTTCAGTAGAAGCAGACTGGTAAGTAGGAAAGCAGTGTGAATTTCTACTGTTTATTTCACAGTTTTCTATATCAAGCTTCTCAACCTCATTGAGGGACTCAGCCCAGTTTCCAGCCATAAAAAACATATACACTCATTAAAATATCATATATCACAATTACAAAAACAACTTTAAAAACACTATATATAAAACTACAGTGGTCAGTCGTCCTATTAAGATGGATCTACATCAACTTCCATCCAGGGTCCTCATTCATCGAAGGCCTGACTCCACAGCCACGTCTTCACCCGTTTCCTAAATGTTAGGATGGATGGGGCGGTTCTGGCCTCCTGAGGGAGAGAGTTCCAAAGTCGCGGGGCCACCAACGAGAAGGCCCTGTCCCTCGTACTCACCAGGCGCGCTTGCGAGGCCGGTGGGACCGAGAGCAGGGCCTTTCCAGACGATCTTGAGTTCCAATTCTTTTCAGCAGACATTAAATTTCAGGTACACTGGACTGTATGGTGGTTAATAACAAATTAACAATTCACATTTTTTTCCACCTGAAATCTCATTACATCGACATAGAGGAAGTCAACATTTCTATGTTTCAGTTTCCCACTTGCATTTTTGTATATTTATTTTTTATTGCATTTATATGCTTCCTTTCTCCAGAGTGTTGGACCCAAGACAGCTCACAAATGACAAAATCAATTTAACAAAAAGTAATAAAACTGACACACTATTTACAAATTGCCGATTTAAAACCATAAATTACACACTACAAAGTTATTCAAATCTCGAAGAAATAAAACTAGAGCTCCCACCACCATAAGGAAGCTTCCTCAAAAATCTATCCACTAAAAGCCGGTTCAAATAAGGAGAACAGAGAGTAGAAAGAAGGCTAGGCTAGCCTTCCATGACAAGAAATTCCACCAGCTGGGTGCAGCCACTGAAAAGGCTTTCACCTGTGTCTTCACCAAAGAGATCAATGGTGGCAGGACAGAGAGAAAGTCTTCCCCTGTATAGCCAGTGGAGCTACTGTAACAGGGGAATTGTATGATTCCTGTGACTTGCCCCAGTCAGCATTTGGGCCACAACATTCCGGACCCTCTGAAGTTTCCGAAGAGCTTTCAAATGCAGTCCACATATAGTGCATTACAACAGTCAAGACAGAATGTAATCATGGTGTGTGTTACTATAACCAGATCTGACAAGCACAACTGACAGACTAGCCATAACTGACCAAAGGCACCCCTGGCTGCCACTGAAACCTAGGACTCCAGGTTCCACCCAAGCTGCAAAATTAAGGTTTCAGGGAGAATGTGATACCATCCAGCACAGGCTGAATGTTTTTCTACTAATCTTCCTTTCAACTGACCAAGAGTGCCTCTATCTTGTCCAGATTAAGTTCTATTTCCATTATTGATCCGAGATATGAATTCTGGTATAGACTTTCTTTGGAGTCACTGTCATCAACATTCTAAATTCAAAACTCTGGATAACATCTCCCAATGGTTTCATGTAGATGTTAAACAGAATTGGAGATAGAACCAAGCGCTAAGGTGTAGCGACGATAAAGAAGACGGGCAGTCAGGAGGGTGATGGTGATCTCAAAGGTTTATTGACTAGCCAAGCTGTTTATATATCTTTCTTGTGCTCTTTGCAAAGCTTGCATAGTAACAGTGAGTTGGATTACATMATTGKCAGMGTKATTGGYTRGACTCTCAAGGGTGAGSKMATCYKHAGGTRAGGTCAGCAACAGGTGATGTCATCCTKCCTGTCTWYAASGGKAGTGKCCATAYRTGRTCAGKTGGTTAGGAACAGTGTATGCATCTGGGGAGGGCGGCCTGCCTCCAGTCCCAGGTCATGATKCCCCYTGYATMCYCTWGCCAGAAWGGTGTGRARCATAAGTGTCAGAGGACTGGAATCTGCCATGTTYYCYTCGGAGGTATGGTTTGCCAGTCCCCCCTGGTGGTACATTGCCATTCCTGCACCTCTGCACCAAGGACACAATGGTGTCTCCCCTATATAAGGGATACTAATAATGATAATGTCCCTTCACTAAGGTCTCAAAACCAATGGTAAGGGAGTTAAGCAGAAATCTCCCATCACCACTTAGTTTGCCCTTCCAGAAAGAACAAGAACAACTAAAATAACGCCCTTAAGTCCTATTCCAGAGGGGTAGCCCAGAAAAATACCATGGTTGGCATGGTATTCTGAGAGCTACTGAACTGCCCAATAGGGACACATCTCCTGTCCAGTTTTCACATCCTCCAAGACAACCAAAGTCACTTCTGTCCCATAGTCAAGTCTGACACCAGATTGAAACTGATCTAAATAATCTGTTTTAACCAGTAATATCTGGATCTGGAAAACAATAACATGCCCTCGAATTTAGTTCAGGAAAGGAATTAACCTGTATTTCTCAGGCATAGTGGGATTCAGGGAAGGATTTTTTTCAGGAGTGGACTGTCACATTCTACAGTTGTTCCTTAAGCATAATACTCAGAGGCAGTTCAAGAGTCAACACAGTAATCAGTCCAAACAAAGGGTCAAACAAGATAATAGCCCAATGTCCATTGCACAAGGTCAATAGAAGAAAGTCTCACCAAATGTCCAAATCAAGATCCAAAACACATAGTCCAAGGCATGAGATTCACAAATTATAGCTCTACCCAAAACATTATTCCCAACAGAGAGCTGCTACAGCCACCAGTGATTTATGCGATCCCTAAAGCCTTTACAACTGCGAAACCCTTCTCTGAGCAAGCCAACTGGACCTTCACAGCTGAATGGCATTGACCCTTAGCTGGAGCCAGACAGAACAAGTCAGCTCTTGCTCTTCCACCTGAACAGCTTCATTCTGTCCTGACTCAGTTATCTCTATGCCAGAAAG